TTAGAATTAAATTCTTAAGGATGGGTGACCCTACACTCCCCCTCCTCCCTCCTCCTAACCCCCCTGAAGAGAAGGATTTAAAAATGAGGTTGAAAGTCATTTTATATTTTCCTGTAGCACCAAGTCAAGCCAAATATTTGTCTGACAGAACAAACTAAAAGTAGACATTTTCAAGAAGTGCCCAAATTTCTGTTTCAGTAATGCTACTTGTTTTAACAGCTACCCACTGGTTACAATGAGGGATGTCCGATATTCACTGTTTGCTGATTTTGACCACCACATTATGACCATTTTGAACACTTAATTTACAATTCCCATATCAACCGATAACGATATATGCAGCAGTTAGCAGCACACCGTGTCACAATGACAATAATTCACTTTCACTTTCACAACAATTTTTAGGTCACGTCATCTGGGCGAAACCCAGGCATTTCCTTATCAGATTTTCCTTATCGGAGGAAAGACCGCTAACGATTCTTACCGATATTACATAATTATGCTAAAAGCGGCCGATAATATTGGTTATTGATGTTATCGGACATCCCTAGTTACAATGCATACGTCGTCGGCTCTTTGTGATCGCTCTACACAGCAACCAGTGGTTTATCAGCCGACGTTTCCCTCAGAAACTGTCCATGCTTCTATTTCAAATTACGGTGGTTATTAAAATAGCTCATTGTTGGTTTGTTAAAAAAAACTGCTACATATTTCTTACCAATTAGTGAAAATCCTCATGAAGTTTAAGGCCTGTTACTGTTTTACAGAATCTAAAATGCTGTGTCAAACATGCGTTCGTATTCTTTATTCCTAATGTTAAGACCAGTTTATGTTTATATCGCGAACACAGTTTACTTCAAAACGCCTTGCACTAAGAAACTGCGAATAACCTAAAAAAAAGATGTTTCCGTTAAATTCCAAATTACATTTTGGAATAAATGTTCATTTCTGTTTTCCAATACAGTTAAAAACGAAGGTTTGAGATTTGAGGTTTGTCGGTAAAACAATTAAACAACGTAAAAGAATGAAGAAACCAATCAGGTTTTGATTGCGTTTCCATGGTGGTTTTAACTTCCTGGTGGATACGTTTTGATGCTGTCCTTTTCCTGGGATACATTAACATCTCACCGAACATTTTTATTTTTAGTTCATTTTCTCTCTCCTGCAGAAACGTTTGAGCTCTGTTGTCATCGTTTCAACATTTTCCTTGTAGCTGCTTCCCGCCGTGTCCTCCCAGAAAACAAACCCTTAAAAAAACAGGTTTCCGCGGCACAACAACGACGCTTTCCATTCTTTTTTCCGCTCTTCTCGTATGTGTTTGAAAACGTGGATAACTCTAGCTGAAATTTAGTAGTAGTAAACCGAACATCATTCATCACAGAACTACTCACTAGAATAGCTTATATCTGACATCTGAATTTTATTTAACTGTACATCACAGACCTGTGTGTTTAGTGTGTTGCAGTAGCCTCCGCAGAACGCGTCCACCTGACCTGACAGTCCTGAATCATTTTCCCCGAACACGCTGCGGTGTCAGGTAGCCTGGGCGGAAACTACACGGAGGATCTTTGAAATGCTCCCTGCTTCTCTGTTGGAGATAAATGAACGGCAAATATTTTTCAAACCATCTGGACCTAGACTGGGTTTTTTTTGGCTACATTAGATGGATCGTTGTGTTTCGTTGAGACTGGAGACCAAGGCCAGGAGACCATCACCTCTTTATACACAACACGTTTGAGCTTCCATCAGGGACATGCAATCTTTATGACTCCAAATCATTGTACAATTGTGGGAACACGTTTGAGCTTTGAAAGGCCATCAGGGATATGCAATCTTTTTGACTCCAAATCATTGTACAATTGTGGGCTTTGTCAACGATGATGACGTGTCAATTTGTAGGTCGAAGGTCATTCCATGTTGCTCTCAAACTATTAAGTTGGGGTTTTTTTTCTGTGATTTTGAACCAATGATAATACAGGGCCTATTTCCTGGGTTGCAAAGTAAACAATTGTTATATTCAGTGTGGCCTCAAGGTGGAGCTAAAGATGTAAATATTGGACGATCAATCTGAATTTGCAGCCATATCAAAATAATTGCATGCCCCGCTGCCAAAGCCACTGTGACGTCTCCCAACTTCCCCTGGTCTCTGTCCCATCTCTGGAGTCCAAGGCTTTGTCTCATGCAGCTTACTCTTTCTGTGTTATCTCAATCTCCGTGACCTCGTCGCTCCTACGTCTTTTCGACTCCTTGTGCTGACCATACGGTCAGAAGCTGAATCTAACTTCCCTTGGTCCCAGGACGTGAGATTAAATTTCTGATCTTGGAGTCTTTTTAACAAAGAGGATGAAGATTGACCCAGTTCAGCGTCAGTCCATTCACTTCCCAAGGCTCATTCATGCTACTTACTGCTGGACTGTGTCCTAAAGAGAGAGCCTCAGTCAGTCCCAGATTGCGCTTCACATTTTACAATCATGTTCCGACAACCGCTTTTCTCAAAAGTGGTTCGTCCGACACTGTCTCACATTTCCATGCTTCACCTGTTTCATTGTCCTGGGATGAGAACTAATCTCCAGCTGAGCCGTGGTCCCAGACTGCATTTGAGGTTTAAGAACCCCCATAGGTCTAGACTGTCGTCTCGTATTCTAGAACCTCTTTGCTACCCATCATGCTACTTCTGTACTGTATCCGGGGGCTGAAGGCCGATGTTGTCTCCAGAAGCAGGATGGTCTTGCGGAGGCGCCGATCGATGAAGTGCGCGTCCCACGCCGGGTAGCGCTTTCTCGGGAGGTCAATCCGGATCACGGGGCCCTCCTGCGCACGGGACGAGGAGGAGGTCCTGTGAAGGAGTGCAGGAGAGGAGGATGGGGAGGGACGGACCTGGAAGACAGGCAAGCAACTGTCCCTGTCTCTCTCCTTGTCCCTGTCTCTCTCCCCAGGACCCAGCTCCCCCGTGTCCTTAGTCCTGGGGAGGGTCCGCGGTGGGCTTGTAATGACCATGTCTGTTTGGGATCCTTGTGATGGAGTGAGGCAAGCATCAATCACTCCCGCGACCCCTCCTGCACCCACCACGCCCTCGTCTACACACCCTCCCCAATGTGAGCCGAGGACGGGTCCATCGGGGTGCAGCCAGCAGTAGTACAGCAGCATGAAGAAGGTTCCCATGGCGAAGCTGCAGGCAACTAAACACACCACGACCAGAGCGTAGGAGTCAGAGGTGAGCGGGCTGCGGTAGGTGTACCAGGCGGCCGTCAGTGCGACATTCTCAGCCAGCGTCACAGAGTAGTAGACGGTCATGCGGAAACGACTGGGACCTTCCTTGACATTGAACCAACAGAAGATGTAGATGATGCCCACCACCATGTTGTAGATGATCTCCTCCCACTTGGACATGCAGAAGTCAGTTTCTCCTTGGATGATCCAGAACGTCATGACACACCTGAAAACAACCAATGACGGGTCAGTTAACCAAGACACCAGCAGTGACCACGGTTGATATTTCAAGAAATGGAACAGAAATCTCTTCTCACACGATGGTGTCATCGACATATCATTTGCAGATCATGGCAGGATATGATCAGTGAACTGAAGCTACCTGTCCTCCCTCCACCTGCATCATTACACTTCGCCCAAATCCACACACTGTCTGCACTAATACAGAAATCAGGAGTCTGGCCGCCTGTTAGTCTGGCAGAGTAACTTCTTCCAGCAGAAAATACTAGTTATAAACCTCGGTGCAGTCCAAATAACAAACCAGAAGCACATTTGATCATTGACTGACAGTTTCCAGCTCTGCCTTCTGACTCTGTTATTCACTGATTGCTTCTAAAGGTGACGGCTTTTCACAGATTTTGTATGGACCATGCAGAATCTGCAGATTCAACCTTCTTCACCAAAGAAAAAGTGTTGTAACAGTTCTCAATCTTTTTTTTTTTTTTTTAAAGTATGAAAAATATTTCAGTTTGAATTCATTCAAACCCAATTCAATCTTTGTCTACAATCTGAAATACATTCAGTTTGGTTGGCCAGTGATCCTGAACACTGAACCTGAATATTTGTCAGGGAAAAATAATTATTTTCAAACTAAACTTTCTTGGGTAAAAATAAAAAAAATAAAAAAAATACAAATTTAATTTTAAATTGGGGCCGGCTGTTACCACACTGTCTAAGTTGTTGGGTTTTATGAATTTGTCAAATAAATAGAACAAAATTAAAACAACTGTTCAATAAAAGTTTAAACAGAATGAACCGAAACTAAAGATGTTTTTGTATCAATCACATTTATACGAAGATGCAACCAGTTTTTTTTAAAAACAGGTTTAAATAATCTATCTTTCTAAAGGACTACAGGAGTCCATAGTGTTATAGACAGTGTTAAACTCCATGCTTCCCAAAAACATGGCTGTGGACTTCATCACATATGGCGCACCAGTGGCTGACGATGAAGATCCCAAAGTAGAGCTGGAAGACGGAAGCGAAGAGGGCGAAGGCCACGGTCCTCGCTCCGATGGTGAAGAAGTGCCACAGCATCTGTGCAATCACCGCCTTGTAGGACATGGGCAGTTTGTCGTCACGGGAGTCTCGGAGAACCTTCTGGTAGGAGGCGATCATCCAGGCCAGAGACACCAGGGAGGCTGAGGCTGAAAGTCCTGGGGGGGGGACGAAAAAAAACAAGATGTAGAAAAATCTATGAAAACAGCGGACACAAGAAAAATAGAAACGGGCTGTAAAAATCTGTGTCGACATTTTCAACATAAATCTAAAGAATTTCATGACGTTTAATGACAATGAAGATGAATTATTGTAAAATATTTTAGCAGTTACCGACTTTTTTTTTTTAAGGGAAGGTCAAATGATCATTAGCCTCTTGGTGTTCTACAACAGTGAGGCCCATTATGAGCTGCCCACAGCACAGTTTAATACATGAAACATTCATCTGCGTTAATCAAGAAGGCTTGTCTCAAATTAGCCATGACTCACACTGGGAAGGTATTAAAAATTAAGCAGGACGAGAGCTGCTCCGACTGTGCAATTGAGCAAAATTTGGATCTTTCTAATTTTCAGAAGATGAAGAGCTTCACGATCCAAACACACAAAGAGAGTTCAGACTCGTGGGTTACTTTAATTATAATTGGGAGTGAACAGGAAGAGAGATAAAGAGTTGAAAATGTGATTATAAATTCAAGACAAAATAAAATGGAATAATAAAAAAAAGTACTGCTCAATGTTAGATAGACAAGAGAAAAATGCTTAGGTAAAAAAATAATAGAAAAACGAAATATTTATTTCAGGGATGGTCGATAATATTGGCCGACCAATATTATCGGCCTGATATTAGCATGATTATAGAATATCTGTAAGAATCGTTAGGTATAAAGGTGGGGTCATGAGATGTTGCATATTTCAGAATCAGTTAAGTGTTTGTACAATATCAGCATATCGGATATCGGCCTAAAGTTAATATCGGACATCCCTGTATTATATTTATAAACTGTTTTATTGTCCTGGATATCAGCATTACGAGTCAAACAATATTTAATATTATATATATATTTTAAATCCAATATCACATCACATCAAAACTTCTACTCTTGTAGGAAAGCTACTGTTGCTTTAAATAACGTGGTGACATTTACTTTGATGTATTTATAGGAAAATATATATAAAAAAGTCAATATTCTGATCTCAAATATTATTGTTGGATTCATGTACTCTGAACAAATAAGTAATAAAATATTTTTTTAAAAATCTGCTTTGATCGACTCGTACTGACGGCCTTCTTACCCTGCAGAGGCAGAACGGCGTTTCCGTGGATCATGATACTTAGCTGGAGGACGAGCTGCGGCGCTGACTTGAGGAAAGCCTCCAGGAGGCGGAGCATGGTGATGTCAGCACTCTCAAACATCAGGCGCCAGTGGAAATGGCGCCGCGGCCCATTACTGTGCCAACGGCTCTGGGCGCCCAGGTACAGGGCGTGGATGTACCTGAGGGTCAGAGACAGAAGAACCGTCAGAGACAGGATATAGTTGATGAAAAACATGTGTTGACTTCTAGAGAAGAGCAGTCCTAGTTTGAGATGTTTTTTTTTTTTTGGAAGATCTGTGACAAAGTGTCTATCAAAGGTTTTATTTTCACCTGCTGGAGCAGCATGAGATTCTGCACTGAAGTCACACCACACGGTGGGATTTGATGACAAGAAAACACCCTGGAAACACTGCTGTGTAATGACAGCTATTTTAAGATTCCTTTCTTTTTTTTTTTTTTTGATCGGAAGTGGGACCACCTAACTGGATTAAAAAAAAAACCCTGGTGATTAACTGTAAGGAAAATATGATAAAACCAAGAAAATAATAATTTAAAAAATACCAATTAAAAAATGCCATCAGTATTAATTCAGTTGGATTTTCTCTATTCATTTCATCAGTACAACCATTTTTTTTTTCAAAATTTTAGATTTTAATATCCACGAGAGTTTAAAAAAAGCCATCCTGTGACCACCACGTCATTAACAGTTGGATTTTCTCTCTTCATTTCATCAGTAGAACCATATTTTTTTTTTCTAAATTTTAGATTTTAATATCCACGAGAGAGAAACAGAGAGAAGGATGGACTCTATATACATATTTATTTTTTGCCTACACCTTCGAACCTCCTGAAATGGGCAACAACTGATGTCAGCACAACACGGCGGAACTGCATTGGCAAACAGGTGTATTTGCATGATGGGAAAAGATGATGGCAGACGGCAGCAGCGCAGCAGGACAGATGGATGGTGGAAGACAAACCAAACTCGCTGGAGAAGAAGTGAGACAGCGTTCCCTTCATGTGCCTCTGCATCCTGAAGCACATTTTAAACGAGTTAAAAATAACCAGCGGGGCAGAGGGTGCACGCACACACGCACGCACACACGCGCACGTTGACGTACACGTGTGTGTCAGCGTATATACGGCTTACTGCATGTACAGCATGTGTCCAGTATATATGATTACAGTTGCAGACAGAAACAGTTCTCATAGAGCCTTTTCACACACACACATTTGCGTGCGCACGTACATGACAGATAGGAAGCAAGGCCAACGAGGCAGCCTTGAAAATCTGTAGCTCTGCAAATAATTTGCTGGCCAAGCAGAGCCGCTGGTGCTCCTCCATTCAGTCCCAGTGTCTCTCTGTCTCTCTGTCCGTCCACGTCCACCTCCGTTTGTCTCCACAAGTGTTTCTCCTTGGGTTTTTTTACGCAGGTCAGCAGCTACAGGGCACAGCTCTTCAGCCTGACCATCTTTGGTTGTTGTTTCCTTCTTTAAAAAAAATGGTAAAGCGTCTCCATTTTCAACTCTTTTTTTTTGTCTTGTCTGTTAAAGGTCATTTACCTGATTTGATTCTAAAGACGTTCCTCGGTGTATTTTTCCGTCTTTTCCTCATCTCTCCTTGTCACTCAAATTTTTCCTTCTATATTTTTTTCTTCACTCCATTTATCTTCATATTTCATTTTCTTCCTCTTGTTTCACTCTTTCTGTTCCCTCTCATTTAGGTTTTTTTTTTTCCTCTTTGCTTTCCATCCAATTCCACGCAGCCCACTTCCATTTCCTGTCTGTTTCTTCCTGTCGTTTGGCTCTTTCCTTCTCCCTATTTATCCAATTTATTTTGTTCTTCCCTCAGGCGTTCTTATGTGCCTCCAGCTCCAAATCTATCAAATCTATATGAATCCTCACCCCCTCCTCCTCTTCTTCTCTCCTCTCCTCGATGCTGCAAACACTTTGTGCCCCCCCCCCACCCCGTGCCCCTCCTCCAAAAACGACTATCTCCAAGGCTGCAGTTGGACTGTTGAAGGCCTCCAGCTTAACACACACACTGACTTTTCCAGGATCAGCAGTCCTCATGGCGACTGAAGAGGTTCTAATGAGGCAGAACCTTCAGTTTAGGTCCTGGTTAAGTTCAGAGGTCAGAGATCCGGTTCAACTGCAGCTTTATTATTTTTTATTTCAACTTCTCTAAAAAGTATTCCATTTCATTAACTTTTAACTGGTTTATACAGAAGTGTGTTTGTATGCAGTGATGCAAACGCTGCCGTTCTCTGTGCAGCGGTAGAGATGATATAATGAGGGAATGTGACCAGGAGGACGATCTTTACAGGATGCTGAGCTACGGAGAGGAAAAACAGAGTGAGGACAGACCAGTGTTTCCAAAACGGTTTTTCTGGGACTCATATTTCAAAAGTCACAAACCTTGGCGACCCAAGTCAATACACATTATTCATAAACTCCTGGGAAACATGATGTGAGACGATCCCCCACCACCACCACCCCCCAAAAAAAAATCTTGGTAGTGAGAATCAGAAACCAGGACCATGGAAATAAAGCATGAAGTTGTCGATAAATACGAGCCTGGTGCCCGCTGAAGAAGGAATACAAATCGAAAAAAAAGCAAAACAAATAAAAAATAAAACATAAAAAATAGAAGATTCGAGATACGGATTATGCTTGTATCTCAAGGTTCCACTGTTTACACTGCAGATCTGTTGGCTGTTGGAGGTGGAGGTGGAGGTGGAGGTGGAGGTGGAGGTGGAGGAGTCCTCCAGCCTCCATCACTCGTCTGAAGAGACTCTTAACCTGATCATTATCACATCAGCAACCAGCCGCTTTTATTGCATCAGTGATTGTGTGCATGTGTATGTGTGTGTGTGTGTGTGTGTGTGTGTCCCTCTCTCCTGTGACTGGGTCACTGGGGTCAGGAGCTGCTGCTGCTGCTGCTGCTGCTGTGACTGAATGATCTACATTTGACTGCGTGTTTTCACTGCTGTGTTCAAGCTCTTAGTCGAATCTTTACAGCCAAGTGACGCTCCCTGGGGTCGACCTGTGTGAGTGGTACTTACTACAAAGAAGATGGAGAAGAAGTAGAAGTCGTTTCCCTGAGAGCCAGACATGTACTACAGTGTACTACAGTAGTACTGCACGGCAAGGCTGACGAGAACTGCGCATCTCCTAGTACACGTCAGAGATGAGGATGTAGCTTTGAACGTTGTAGAGTTCAGGGTCGGTCTGATGGTTCTCCGTCTTAGTTTGCCTGTTTAGTACAACTGACGTTTGGTGATGTTTTTTGAAAGTTCACGTATTTACTAAGAAATGTCTTAAAGAACTGTCAATATTTGTTAACTTCACTGAGAACTTCAGATTAATTTGATTTCTTTTGCAGCTCCTCCCTTCGTTTATACATCTCATCCGTGGATGTTTTTTTATTCTTCTAACTTGGTTCAGTCAGACAGACACAGAGACATCCACCGTCAACAATATTAAAAAAATATGGCAGAAAATACATGCCTACAATTGAGTTCTCCAATGTATAATTAATGAGTAAGTCGGTAACAACAGTTCTTGAATAATAAAAAACATAAACCTACAATCCTTACGTCAAGTCCCAATAAAACATCATGTTTTTCAAATATTTAAACACGGTGTGACTCCATGTCCGGCACCGAGGGTTTTCTGCTGCTGTGTCTGTGAAGTTGACTGAGACTGAGCCACAGTCTGTGAGTGAGTGTTGGTGTGGAAGCCCACACACGGCAAAAACTCCTCTCTCCTGTCTGAGTGCAGCTCAGCTGTCAACACCGACCTACTTATACTGCCACACAAAGAAACCCGGCCCAGAGAGGGGAGGACGTGGACGGGATGGTAAAAATAAAAAAACACAATATTGAGCCAGAAAATTAAAAAAAAGAAAAGAAAGTTAGACAGAAGGAAAAGACAGAGGAAAGAAAGAAAGATGGATGGATGAATGGATGGATGGATGGATGATGGATCACAGGTTCAGCTCCAGGTTCTAAACTCCAGGGTTCAGACAGAGAGAGGACATAAACGTGAAGGACTGAAGGAGAGAAGTGAGCGAGTCTGAGCGACAGTGAAACAGCAGTCAAAGCTGCAGAGCCACTGATCTGATAAAAGCACGCAGACTGATGAAGTGTTTAATTGGGAATTGTGGGTAAATCTGAAGTGTTTGCAGATATACGTGTGTGTGTGTGTGAGGGAGAGAGAGAGAGAGAGAGAGATAGTAGCTGATGCTATCACTGAATTGCCAGTGTGATCCATTATCTCTCAGCCCATCTCTCGCTGATGCATCTGTTATTTAGAAATCCTAAGGTTTCATTATTGACTCCGAGGGGAAAAAGTGAACGGAGGGAGAAATATGTCTGTTATTAAAAAAAAAAAAAAAAAGGAAAAGTGTAAGAATTGAGAAATACAATGTCAGAGGAAATAAAATAAAAAAATCAAATGTGTGAAAATATATTTGAAATTTTAAAAAATGCAAAACAGTGAGATAACACAGGACGAGAGTCGAAGACGAACAGGGAATCAGAAAACTGGGTGGAAAAAGTGATTTTGGTTTGAAGTTTTTGCTTTGACTCAAAAGATGGTGTTTTTTATTTTAGAAGTTCTGAGAAACTGTGTGATTGGTTCTCTCTCTCTCTCTCTCTCTCTACCCAACATTTTGGCTTCAACACCTCTAGTGAAAACTCCATTCCGCTCATTTCTCCTAATCTCTCCTTCATTCTCCTTCTCTCGTACCCAAATCATTTTGCTAAACTGATCTGTCGATACAAGGACTTTTGTTTTTTCACCTCTACCAGGAACACAGCACCAAGGTCATCACTACTGATACTGATACTAATACTCTCTACTTGGGCCAAAACATGAGGGATGTGCAGAGATACAGGAGAGAAGGAAAAGAAAATATCTTTATGTCCTGACCAATCAGAGAGAAGAAGTGACGAGAACAGATCAGAGGAAACGTTTGAAACCAAACCTGAATGGAAATCTATTAAAAGGATTCAAACTTTGGCAGCAGGTGGTGTTCTACTCTACTGTTTCACCTTTTTTGATTCTGAACTGAGAGAAATTTTAAAGAGAAAAAGCAGGTTGTGTTGAAAACCAAAACTTACAGCTAAAAAGTTCTGATCGGGGTCAGAGTTCAACAACACTGATCAGTAAAGAG